CACACACACACACACACACACACACACACACACACACACACACATTCTCATTTCAACAAGGTATTCCAGCTTGTAAAGAAAAGAAGAAAACCTCCACATACAGGCTTATGATGCCCTAACATTGTTCTTTCCCTTATGAAATATTAACATGGCTTAAAATGCTATGTTTATATTCTACTGTATTTTCCTATTGGTTCAGAATCTCCCAATCAATACTTAAAAAAAAAAATGAGAGCAGACAAACTTTGTTATACCACCTCATCTCGGAAACTTCCCCATTAGCTAAAGTCTGACTAGCCATAGGTGTCCTGCAGCATCTTCTTTGGAGTCAGAGGACATAGGTTTAAATTCAGTCTCGTCACCTGCCCTTGCACAAATCACTTAACCTCCACGGGACTCATTGTCCTAGTCTGTAAAATGAAGGGGTTGGATTTGATGATTTCTATGGTCCCTTCTACATCTAGATATACAATCATGAGATAATCTTAAATCTACTCTGTGCATATAATATCAGTCAAGTAAATATAGTCACTGAGGAAGAAACTTGGTACAGTGGGGAAAAAAAAAACTGAATGAAATCAATGGATCTGTGACCTAGGATAAGTAAGTCACTTTCCCTTTCAAGGTCTCAGTTTTCACATCTGTAAAATAAAGGCTTGGATGGGCTTTATCTCTGAGGTCCCTCCTTGCCCTGATGCCCTATGGGATTACGTCAACTCTCTATCATCTGCTGTAATGGAAAGGAGCATTGGCTCGAAAAACAGAAGGATGTTTTTAAAAAAACAACACTTAATTCAATGATCATTTAGTTATATTTGAAATACACCATTATAATTACTTTAGCAGTGGACTTGCCTTCTTAAGTATGTACACTTAGTTTCATAGTCTGTGATTTTGTTTCCTTCAGTTAGAAAATCCTAGGTTTGGGGAAGAGTCAGCCTGGAGTAAAAAATTTGCAGTGAAGAATTCACTTAGAGATTAATTCTTATGCATCCGATCAAGAGTTGACTCAACTTGCTTCAGGGATTCATAATTTCATCTGTGGGCATACTCCTCCCAACAGATTCCAGTGTCCTTAGTACCTCAATGGATCTGTCATCTCACAGGTGTGAGTTTTCCCACTCACACCTTGGGTGGCATAGCGGATAGAGAACTGGACCTGGCGTAAGGAAGACCTGAGTTCAAATCCAGCCTCAGACACTTAATAGCTGCCTTAGGTGAGTTACTTAACTTTTGTTTCCCTCAGTTTCCTCATCTGTAAAATGGGTGTTATAATAGCTCCTAACTCCCTGGATTGTTATGAGGACCAAACAAGTGCCTGGAACATAGTAAATTTTAGTTATTATTATACCCTTGTTCTTGTTTTTCTTTAGAAGATTTCCCAAAGTCCTAGGAGCCTCTTTCCTGCGTCACAGATATCAAAAGCTCAAAGGGATCCCTGAGGTCAAATTGTACCTGAACAAAAATCCCCTCTACAATATACCCAACAACTCTTTAATGCATTCAGTCTTTACTTGATGATCTCCAGGCAAGGGAGAGCCCCAAATCTCCCAAGGTGGCCCATTTTACTTTAAGGTAACTCTAAGTAGTTCTACCTTCTATAAATCCTACATTCTATTATTTGAACATTGCCCTCATTGGCCTACTTCTTTTTGCCTTCTATGGCCAATCAGACTAAGCTTAAATACCCGATGATAGCTATTATATTATACTCTCTTATTTTCTTTTATCCAGGTAAAATATCCCACTCATTGCTATTATGATATGAATTCAAGGCTCTTTATTACACTGGTTGTTTTCTTTTACACATCTTTTCATTTTCATTATTCTGTTCAATATTCTCTTTACAATTACACTCTTAAATATACTCAAGATAATATAGCTTAACTGAGTCTCTTGCCAAGCTTCTTTCAAACTTCTTTATTCCTCTACAGCCTCTTGCTATTGTGTAAGGTGATGCTACTCATAATTTCCCACTCTTCTTCTCTGGAAGATTTTACTGACAAGTTTATGATCTAATAATAATACCAGATCTTAATAACAATCTTGCATTTAAAGGCTTGCAAAACTCTTACATACATACAATATCTTATTTGATCCTTACAACAACCTCGTAAAGCAATTGCTATGTTATTATCAACATTTTTCAGAAAAGGGAACTGAGGCTCTGAAAGGTTCAGTGATTTGCCTTGGTCACACAGCTAGCAAGACAGACATCTGAACCCAGGTCTTCCTGACCCCAGGTTCAACGCTCTACTCTTGGTATTGCTCTTGGCTGCCATGTTTCTCCACTTGATAAGAGCAAGTGTTTGTTTACTAAGGTTGTTTCTAATCTCTTGGTCTGTGTTGTGGCGATTGCTATACATTAGTTAAACTTCCTTAGGAAGTGGTGAAATTCTACAGTGATGTCTGTTTTTTAAACCCATTTCCCATTTTTTGGGCACCAATGGGTTGTTTAAATATGTCAGGTTGAGTTCTCTAAATTGAATGTTACATCTTCTTATGTTTGTTCTCTTTCTAATCTAGTATTGCTTCTGATTTTAAACAAGTCTATGGTACACAGCTGGTTCAGAAACAACTCAAAATCTGTAACCTGTCATTTTATGACTCTTATAATATAATCAACTTCATTTTTCACAATGTTGTTCAAGTGCTTATGATGTCTGTCTATCTAGTGCTTCTCAACCTTTTTCTCAAAGAAAATGATAGTTATAACCCTTTAGGATAGTCTACAAATCTTTGTTTTCTTATTTCCTACTTCTGAACCACATTTTCAAAATATTTTTG